TTTGAAGGCATCTGACACCAGTATTGTTCAACAGCATACTATAGTTGTATCTGTGATTACAAAGTCTCTACTACAACAAGCATCACGAAAGTGGCAATGAGTGTTCGTTGGCATCACGAAAGTGGCAATGAGTGTTCGTTGGCATCACGAAAGTGGCAATGAGTGTTCGTTGGCATCACGAAAGTGGCAATGAGTGTTCGGAAGTGGAAATGAGTGTTCGTTGGCATCACGAAAAGTGGCAATGAGTGTTGTTGGCACGAAAGTGGCAAAGTGTTATATGGCATATATAAAGTGGCATCATCACGAAAGTGGCAATGAGTGTTCGTTGGCATCAAGTGGCAAAGTGGCAATGAGTGTTCGCATCACGAAAGTGGCAATGAGCATCACGAAGTGGCAATGAGTGTTCGTTGGCATTTAAAGTGGCAATGAGTGTTCGTTGGCAGGGAAATGGCAATGAGTGTTCGTTGGCATGTAAATGAGTGTTCGCGAAAGTGGCAATGAGTGTTCGTTGGCATCACGAAAGTGGCAATGAGTGTTCGTTGGCATCACGAAAGTGGCAATGAGTGTTCGTTGGCATCACGAAAGTGGCAATGAGTGTTCGTTGGCATCACGAAAGTGGCAATGAGTGTTCGTTGGCATCACTTAAAGTGGCAATCAGTGTTCGAAAAAGTGGCAATGAGTTGTTGGCATCACCAGAAGTGGCAATGAGTGTTCGTTGGCATCAATGAGTTGCGTTAAAGTGGCAATGAGCATCATTTAAAAGTTCGTTGGCATCACGGAAGTGGCAAAGTGTTAGATTGGCAGTGGCAATGAGTGTTCGTTGGCATCACGAAAGTGGCAATGAGTGTTATATATATCACGAAAGTGGCAAAGTAATGTTCGTTAATGAGTGGCAATGAGTGTTATATTGGCATCAACAAAGTGGCAATGAGTGTTCGCTGGCATCACGAAAGTGGCAATGAGTGTTCGTTGGCATCAAAAAAAGTGGCAATGAGTGTTCGTTGGCATCACGAAAGTTACTAATTAGATATATTCTTAGTGTTTTGTTTGAAGTAAAATTCGTTCATGCTTCTGAGTAGGACGTGGTTATTTTCTTTGGAAATGTTAGGGCATACAATATATATGTAAAATTTGTCTTCATAATTTTATTACATAAGTAGAATTTCATTTTTGTATAGTTTATGTTCCAATTGATTTTTTGTAACTTTGCTTAGTGTCTTTGTGTTTGACAGATATTTTGCTCTCTTTTAAATAAGCAAACTATTTAGATTACATACATACACACTCACAATAAAATCCAAAATCACCTCATATGGGGAATAGCCTATTTCAGTAAACAAAGATATGTCATCTGTCTTATCAACCTTGTTCCATGTGTCATGTTGAATGGATGTCAGTTATCTCCTGTTAATTCCCCTCTGCAAGTTCTCCACTGCCTTAACCGGGTATTGAACTCACACTCTTTGGGTCCTGTCACTGGATCTAACCAACGGCTTTATCCACTGTGCTATATGTCCTTTTATGTTGACATTTTAACACTAATTCATTCCTCTGATTTAATAGTTGGCTTTTATTGCATTTTATTATTCTAATTTTTTCTTCTAAACATAAGTCACACATATCTCTAAGACTATTAAGAGTATGCACAGAACATACAATCTTCCAAACTATCTGTGGGCTCAAACCATTCTCCTTCAATTCCCCAAATTTTTTTGAAAGAGCTGTCTGGTGTTTTAGTTTAGGGTTAGGAAAGGAGTGCCTATGGGCATAAAATCTGTTTCTATTCCCCCGTGGAAATTCCAATGTAAATATAATTTTTCATATTTTCTTTAGGGGAAATGATCGCTTGATATATAACCCTGATAGATCTGCATTTACCCTCTACTGAACAATTGTCTTTAGATCCTACACTTACAGGAGGGTTCAATACCAGGTTTGTTCTTTGTCCCATAGAAATTTCTTAAAATAGAGTTATTGTGTGAATTAATAATTTTATACAGGTTGTAGCTAATCTTAATCATTTTCCTATTGAAGATCTTACTTAGAGGGTTATTTTTTTAAAAATTTTTTTTAATTTTTTATTTTTTTTGAAGTTTATTTATTAACTTTAGAAAAATGCTATGCACTATAAATATTTGACAGTTTGCAGAAGGGGGTGTTGAACCATATAATTTTCTTTTTTTGTGTCTACATTTCACTTTAGATATTTCAGGGGTTAGATAAGAATTTATTTTTAAAATATTTTTTTTTTTTTTTTTTTTTTTTTTTTAGAGCATTTTCATACAATTTTTTTAATTTTAAAAAATGTTTGTTGGATGATAATCAACTAATCCTAGTGCTGATGGTGGTAGGTATCGGTTTCACAATGCCATTGGTGTGGTTAGAATTAACATTAATATATGTGGGGGTTTTGTTGCCTCCCCTGACCCCTGTCTTGTGCCTTTTGTTTGACTGAAACATTGAAATAGATAAATTCTGTATTAGTTTTTCGACTGTTTTTTTTTTTTATTACTAGGATCTACTTGGATGGTATACCAACAGATTTGTTACTATTTATTTTATATATATATATATATATATATATATATATACACACACATGCATTTCAAGGCGAGGTAGAATGTTAAAGTACACAAAGAATTAGTGACAGTAGTTGATAAATTAAAAGTTGAATTGACTTAAGTTGAGAAAAGTGAAATACTTGATATTGAATATTTGAAAAAATAAATGTTTTCATTTTATTTTTAGACTTGTCAAGTGTTTAAATATTTCAAGGACACATAAAAATTATTTATAACTTGTAAAAATACAATTAACTTTATAAACTTATTTTGTGAATCAGTGACATTGCAGTTTTAACCATTTCAATGTTTTAAATATAAATTTCAAGACTTTTTTCTTTTTCTTTTTTTTTTTTTATTGTTACTAGATGAGGTTTTTTTTTTTTTTTTTTTTTTTTTTAAATATGACATTTGTTATGTTTTTTCTTTACAACTATTAACTACAGTCAATTGATATTGCTCTAATTGGATACATTTGACCCTTTGCCTCCTTCCTTCAGAATGGATATGATTATTCTTGTAAAAGATAGTGTGGAGGGTTTCCTCATTGCCATCTCCATGGTATTGAATTCAGAGCTATTTGTTTTCTGAGACTGGGTTCCTTATCAAGGCTAAATATCACAGTTTACTCAACTGTTTTACTTATAGCTTAGGGAGAGAATAAGATTTGTGTCTCTTTCTTAGGTCATTGGTTTGAATTTTTTTTTTTTTTTTTTTTTTTTTTTTTTTAAGTAACATAGTATTGACATTCAAAAAGATAACAATGTAAAACTAGGAACATTATTCTAATTCAAGAGGTAAAATAAGTGCTAAAATCTTAGGATTATGTTTGTGTATATTTATTTTATTTGTTTGAATAAATTAACTCCATTTGTTAATATCATTAAAACATATCTCCTGCTATTCATGTAAAGATGTAAATAACATTTTTACAATTTAAGTAACCGTTTTTTTTTGTTTTTGTTTTTTTCTGTTAAGGGTAAGAGGTGTTTATGGCCAAGTACTTTGTCTTGTGATTCTGTTTTACTGATCATATGACTTGAGTAGAAAATCTTCATGTGACTGCCAATTGGTGGTGCCACTACTGATGCTCAATTTTAAGACTTCACTATTTTTCTGATAAAAAAATATTATATTTCTATCGCAGGAATAGCTAAATAAATCAACAAGTTAGTGCATTGTTAAATGTAAAAAGTTTATATATCATAATCACAGGTGATTATAATTTTTTTGTATATTTCAATAATATTAAATCTTCTCAAAATGTAATGCCTAATCTCCTTCCCTGTTGGTTTGGATGAGAACCTTTTGTCTAATGAGCTAAAACAAAGCTAAATGGAGAGATTTTTTTCTCTTGTCACCATGCATGCTTTAACCAAATCAGCTGATTTTTATTAAATAGTACTAATCTACTGTTTCTCTTTTTTTTTTTTTTACCTGAAAGTTGATGCTTTTCCAAGGGTTGTTAATTTGATTTTTATGATTTCAGATTAGAAAGTTTTTCTTGGAATTTCCATTGTTAATGGTAATGTTGCAATTTTAGTTTCCATTGCTTGGATTATTTTTAAAGTACTTCTGTATAATTGTTTCTTAATACAATTTGCCTTCCTAGATTAAACTTTGTATTGAAATTTTTAATTTCTCAGATTATATATAATGTATATTTGGGCAGCAACCTTTCTTTTAAACATCTTTCACTAAATATAGCAAACAAGGAAGATTTATTTATTTATTTATTTATTTTTTTTTTTTTTTTTTTCTTTTTTACAGCTTCCTTATGTTTTTCTGTTTTGTGAGAATACAGAAATTTTTCCATAATTTTCATTGTCCCAAGCACTTTCGATCCCTTAGCCATTTTCAAGGGGGTTTTGTTTTTGGTGTTATTTTTTCCTTGTTTTGACTGTTTAAGTTGTATTTTTATTTTTATGTTGTTTTGAATAGGAGTTTTTATTCTGAGCCTTTGTGTGTTGAGTGTGGCTGGAATTCCTCATGAGCATCTTTCTATTTTTAAAACTCTTTTTACACTCCACACACACACACACACACACACACATATATACACATATATATATATATATATATATATATATAGTAATTTTTATGTTAGGATGTTTAAATATTAAACTAATGAAATAATTTGATTTTTGTATTACCAGCTCTGTGTTCTAGTGTAAATATTCTTTAAATCTGTAGGACTGTGAAAATATAAGGTGTTACAATGATGTTTTTTTTTTTTTTTTTTTTTTTTTCATGTTTCTCATATCTCCTCATTAAATTTTTTTTAATCGCAAAAGTAGCTAGTTAAAATAAGTGTATGCCATATTTATGGCTGATGTTGTAAAGTGGTATTTGTTTGTTTTGTTTATTTGTGCTCCTGCCAATATGTCTTTTTACTTTTCATGTTTTATCTCATTTATTTTTTATTTTTTTTATTTTCAGGTTGATGAGTATTGTAAGGTGGATGAAGTTATAAATGAGTGTGCATAGGGCGCTGTGTTTGTATTCACATAGAGACCGCAGGTAGTGAGGAGCTGTTACCATGCCTTCCCTACCCAAGCCAGGAAGCTTAAAGGACCCTGAAACTGCATCTCTCTTCAATTTAGAAGATCCAGAAAAGGTTTTTACGGAACTAAGAGAGATTGGCCATGGCAGTTTTGGTGCAGTATATTTTGTAAGTAACATTTTTCTTTCTACATTGGGTTGACTTACTTTTAATATCATCAAAGCAGGGAAAAAAAAATGAAAACATCTAATGCATTGTATTCTCTTCAGTCACATGTCTCTTCAGGAAACCTAACAAAGCTGATCATAGTCCTTCACAGCTTCCTTTTTCTTTAGTATCTATGAACTGTTTATTGCCATGATTGCTGTTGGGGAAGGATAGTGAATGGGTTTGTGTTGAGGCTTCACTTTTAAATTTAGTTATCATTTTCCTAGACTGGATGCCAACCCAGGCTAATTAACCCTTTTTACTCTGCAATTTAATTTCTCACTTGTGTAACTCACTTCTGGCATCTTGCTCCCTAGTCAACTTTTATCTTTAAAAATTTAAATGTGATGTCAAACATTTTGGATAATTTGGGAAATAATTTGCTCCGTTTTGATAATTTGGAAAATAATTTGCTCCGTTTTGATAATTTGGAAAATAATTTGCTTATTCAAGAATGAAATGTTTTTTTCATATGTCCTTAATTTCAATCTCTTATATTCTTTAATGAATCATAATGTTTTGGGTGAGAAAGGAATGAAAAAAATTGATTCATTGACTTTTATTCTTTTTTTTTTTCCTTTTATCAAAAGATACTTTGATTGCAAGAAAACATTAAAGGATAGTCTTTCATTTCTAGAAATATGAGTTGTAGTTCAGAATGTCTTCCAGGGCTGCAAGTAAGATTGTCTTTCTCTTAGGCAAAGGCTCTAGTGTGGGTAGGTGTTTTATGCATATTACTGATAAAAAATAGACCTTCCAACAAGTGTCAAGCTTTTCCTGGAAACCAGTATATTGCTTCATACTTTGATATGTTGGTTGGCAAATTCAAGTTGGCATCTTGGCTCAATCCTTATCTTTATTGTCGTATGTTTGTTCTATTTTTACCTTTTACAGACAACCTATGTATCTACAATTATGTGATTTTTTTTGATGGAATGAAAGTTGGGATGCAATTGGTGGCTGGAATTATAATTCAATTATAACACTTCAGTTCTTACATCACCTTAGAAGATCTCTTATGAGGTCAGTACTGTTGATTTTGTGGCTAGGAGAGAATAGCAAAACATTTTTTGAATCAACTTCCATATAGTCGGACTTCATAAATAATAATAATAATCCTCAGTAATTTCTTTAAGAATGGTCGATTTGATTGTCCCCCCCCTCTCCATATTTTTCACTCATTCAAAGCAGATGGTGTAATGGATAGTGGTTCAGAACGAGAAATTGAAAAGACATTATTTGAAAAGTTCAAATTCCAGTTGCATTCATTACATTAACTTATGCACAAATACCCCTGGGAAAGGTATGAACACCTCTCCTCCCTGCAGCTAAGGGTAAATAGTAGGACTTGTATCTGGGGAAAATCCTTGTTATCTACAAAAAGAAAAAAAAGTTATTGTAATATTCATTTGCAAAAAAAAAAAAAAAAATCTTATCCAAAATATGTTTTGGTTTTGAATAATCCACAAAAAAGCTGATAAGCTGTAAAACAAAATTGCTCTTTGAAATCATTTTTAGTATGAAATAAAAATTTAATACTGTCAAAAATTTTCTAACATCTTTTTAGTAATGTGAAGCAAAACCAGAAATGACTCTAGCATATCTAGCTATTTGTTGTCTCCTGTTCAATAACAATATTCTAAAACCCTGTAACTAGTTCAATGGGGAGGAATAATTATTTATGTAAAGTTAGATCTCAGATCTGTGTTAGTATAAAGTCAGTGCCATAAATAATGTCAAAAATATTTTTGCTATATTAAAATGCCTAAATGATAATGCATGCAAGTAGGTGTTCATGCAGTTTTTAAACAAGTCATCACATGATTCAACTAATTTGACTCCTCTAAAAATGAATGTGCCTATGAAGTCCATAACACACAGGTTATTCATTGAGTTTAGAAAAGAACATTGCTACTGTAGAAGTGACTTAAAATATTAATGTCATTTATGAAAAAGACTTTTTTTTCTTTTTTTCTTTACTTTTTTTCCTTTTTTTTTTTTTTTTATGAAAGAAATGGATGAATAGGGTTTAAAAAGTTTAGAAATGGTGACTTTGGCTTAAATGATGCTTCACAAGCAAGTTTTCCTGTTGAATTTAATGATGGTCTGCTTTTGTCTGAACTCAACAGAAAAAGTTCTGTTACATTTGAAGAATGAGCTCAAATACTCCTTCAATGATCCATTGTCAATTTGGAAAGATACCTAAACTTAGAAAATAGATTTCCTATGATTTAGTAGCTCTTCAACTGTGAATAAAGTGAACATATGCACTTCTGTCTTTTCATGAATGTATAATCAACATTTTTATTTTATTTATTTTTTAATGCCATGTCCTTTTGAGGATGTAAGCAATCATGATTACTTCTTTATTTTTTATTTTTTTATATCTATAAATTTCCATGACTTCTTCAAAAAAAATAGTGGAGTGGTTTCCTATGAACTTCTTCAGTTTTATATATATATATATATATATATATGAGAATTTTAACTTGTTTTTAATCAGAATAGCATATCTGAGTTCAAATTTCCATTGTGAATTGGTGAAATAAACTTTTCTTTTTAAGTAAAAAGAATATTGCCAAAAATAGTTGGAGCTGTGGGGAGGTGAATTATTAATCCTTTACTATTACATTATTATAAAATAGAACAGGTAAATGGAGTTTTTTAATGCTTTTGGATCATCTATTTAACTTTATATATATAGAGAGAGAGAGACAACTTAATTTTCTTTGGAGCTTTAAAGTAATAAAATTATGTAATTCTCTTTTCACAATTGAAAACATGATACTCAGCTTTTGTGCATATACATATTTGTGTGGACATTATTACTAGAGGTGGTGATATGCATTTTATGTTGTAGTTGAAGTAATAATGTGGAATAGAGTTGGATTGGATTTTTTGTTTTTTAAAGAAACTGTAGGATATTATATGGATTAATGTCATGAAAAAGTTCTTTCATTTTGGCTCAACCTCTATGGGTTATTTAATGCTGAAATCTAAATATTTTGAACAATTTCATGGTTTCAACTTCAGATAAAATGTATTGTTGGTAATTTTTTTATATATAAAAATGAATTGCTGGTATTTTTATTATAAAAATGCATTTTTATACTTTTATAGTGTTTTGTATTTGTTTGGTGGTTCACTATTTGCCTATAGCTAGGACTATAACAGGTGCTATCATTCCAGGTCAGAGTGAACCTGGTAACAACAGCAATTAAGAAATGGTTCCATGATTCTCAAAACCTCCAATCTCCTGATTACTTGCCTTGCTGAATGTAGTTTATCATTGTACCCAGTCATATATAATGCATGGCTTGATGATTGTATTTAAGTATGAAACAGATTGTCACTACTGGCTACAATACCCACTTTTATATTTTACATACACTCTATTCCTAATAATAAGTACTTTAACCAATAAATATAGCATTCCTTAAAACTATATTTCTAACATATATAATCTCTCATCCACTGCTTAGAATTAAGTTTTCTTCTTCTAGACTGGCTGACAGTCTAGAACCTAGCCTCCCCTGCTATTCAACCCATTGCATTGGAAAGAAGAGATGAAGTCATGCCTTTTGGCATTACACTATTTGCATGTCTGCTTAGCAAGATAAATGTGTTATGATGATGATATCTGAATATTTTACAAGAATATAGTTATGCAGACAAAGGCTTAGTGGGAGTGAACAGACTAGAGTGTAACAGAATGAACTTCCATCCAGGGAGAGTTTTGCTCTCTGTTTAGAGGAATGTATTGGTATAAGCCTACTTTGGGTTGTTACCAATCAGTATTCCAATTACAACAGCAGATTCTATTGTCAGGAGTTAAACAGTGCTTTCAAGGTAGTTAGACTCAGTTGATCAATCTCAGAGGTATGTGTTCCCATCATGGGAATGCACTGGCTCTCATGTAGCAATGATCATATCTTTAGACATCTTCCTTATTCTCCACATCTTGTTACACATAATTATCTGGATTTTATAGAACAGACTAGTTCTTAAAACATGTAAAGATGTGGAAACTCTCTCTCGTTATTCTTCTCATCTGTATTGAAAAAATTTTATAGACAGTGTTATGAATCTTGTGAATTGTTGGAAGAAGGTTATTGATAATGATGAAACCTATGTTAATGAATGAATACTAATTAAATTTTGCTTCAGCCCTAAATTTGTCTATTACTTATAGGGTGACCCGATATATGAATGCATGTTGTAAATGAAATTTACTCTATGTACATATCATGAGATGAACATCGTAATTGTAAGAGCTGACCAGTGTGGGTTTTGTTAAAATGTACATCTTAAGAAATCTAAAGAATAATGAGTGAGATATGCCATGAGCCTGTAATTTTTATTTTACACATATTTCCTAGTTATGTACAAGGGTTGGCTGAAAAGTTTATAGACTGATCAAGATATTATGAAATGTGACCAAATGAAGTTTACTTTTCAACATAGTAGTCCCCCTTGCAGTCTACACGCTTCTTCCATTGGTATTGCAGTGCTGGTATCCCATTAGTGAAGCTTTTATCATTGCAATACTGGTTCCCAGCCAAGTGACTTTTTTTCCATGTTGAGGAACAGATGATAGTCATATGGAGCCAAATCAGGATAATACGGGAAGGTGATCAACCTGTTCAAAACCAGTTACACACATCAGCAATTGAAAAGTATGCTGGAACAATGTTCTGATGAAATCAGGCCCCTTTCATCAGTTTTTTTGTGGGTGTTTGGTCTTGATAGCCTTTCATAACAGCCTCAGCAAATTGATATAGTACTCTCCATTGATTGTGTGGCCCTATTGAAGATTGTAAATACAAGGCCATTTGCATCACAAAAAACTGAGGCCACCACCTTCCTTGCAAATGAAATGACCATGTCCTACTTTGGAGCAGGTGAGGAGTGTTTCCACTGCATGGATTGTCTCCTTGTCTCTGGTTGAAAGTGATGAATCC